GCGCACTGGTCTTAATATTAGTAAATTGAATTTAGATTATCTAGGCCTCTGATTAGGGGTGGTTTTCGGAGGGGGGACCTACATGTATCACAAATGTTCTCTTTCTTTTCTCTCTCCCTTTTCTTCCCACGCCCCTTCACTCTCTTCTCTCTCTCTCTCTCTCTCTCTCTAGCTCTCTCATTGTCATGTGTGTGGGGTTAGGGGAGAGAGGAGGTGGGTGTCTCTATTTCTACGCTACAGGTATATCCTCTTCGTTGATAAGGTTCAAGAAAAAATCTCTTACCTCGTGCTGTACACATTACCGAAGCATCATCCTCATGCGCACAGTCATGAGTTCCTATCGTATTATGGTTGCATTGATTCAAGCTCTCTTCTCCTCCTCGACACTGTACATCGTCCAACCATATTGGACCACTCCCAAGACCGTAGGCTGCGGCGACCAGGGCCAGATCCGCCCCACTGTAGCCCAGGTCCTTGCACACAACCTCGGCCTCGTCTAGACTCCAGTGGTCGTCACAGACTGACCCCCAATTTTCACAGTAAAACACCTCAACTCTTCCTTCGGAGGGAACCTGTCCATCCACAAGTCGCACATATTCTATAAAGAAGCAAGCGAAAGACGAAAGAATATTGAAGGTTTAAATAACTTCTAGCGCTGTCTTTCAGACGAGTAAACGGATACGGTTTTTAAGTTTCGGACAAGAAGAGCCTATGTCTTCTTGCCACGTAGCATGTATGTACAACACAGAGGTATGTGTAAATTACATGTACCCAAGGTCAAGCAAATGAACCATTTTCATAATGTAACGAAATGTATGCATATGCCTTTGTGAAGCGCCTTGATATATTTTATTCCATTCATCTGTTCGAATAAAAGTCATATCAATATTCAGAATTCAAATTGCATAATTAGTTATTGTTAGGGGGACAAACATCATGACTTGCCCTACCTAACAACACGTAATATATCCAATTCGCATTCTGACTATTGAAAAAAGCATTATGAATAAAAACTATTCAAGCAATATACATCAATAGGCTTTTTTCTATAGTTTGCTTAAATCGTTAACGATTGAAAAAAATTATAAATCATTTTTCCGTGATGTTTAAAAAGGACCATTTGAAATTCTACTCTTCATGGAGTTGGGATTCGTGTGGTGTCTATTTGTTTTCTTCGAAGGTATCAAACAACAAAACTGTATTTATACAGGTTACATTTATCAAGTAGACTCTGTTAGATCTATGTCATTATATAAACCACGTAGTTCCACCAATATAGTGAGTGTATTGGCGCGTTGTAAAGGGATTGGGTATCTTTGCCTCATATTCTAAATAAAGTCCTGGATTTAGCTCATGCTGCAATCATAATTATAAACATCTAGGTCAGTCAGGAATCCCATAACTTTTACAAGCCGATCGCCTGCTTGGTTATCAAGATATTTATGATTGGAAATCGACATTTCAAAAATCATTTTCCCAACGGTTTTTATAACACTACAATCTATTGGGGAAAATGAGTATGGAAAAACCGCTCACTCGAAGATTGTTACTATTTTGAGGCACTTCATGATTATTTTGAAGCGCAATATGCGTAGGGCTTCAATATTACACCATATCATAGACACTGAAAATGGGTAGGCCGGGCCATGCATTTCAAATTTGTAAAACTGTAAACATTGTTAAACGATGCCTTTAATATCCAGAAAACACAGACATAAATAAGTGCCAGTATTCAAATCTCAGGTATAACGTAAATATGCTATTTTGTATGTCCCCCAAAACATATCAAATGTGTACTTGAGACAACGACAATAAATTGTTCTCATACAAAATCGTTGAGTTGCCATTTAGATATGAAAATTCATGACGAGTCATAACTCACCCGCATTTCCAGTAATGTACGGAAATATGCTGAATAATATTACCAGGCTGATGAAATAAATCGGCTTCATAGTCACAAAAATATCCATAATTCGCCTTTAATTTAATAACTTAGGTCTCTTTGCCTTCCAACACAGAGACAGAAATGATGTGTTCACCACGACTCAATATGTAGTAATGTATACACATTAATTGCTTCGCTTTGTTGACATTTCGTATATAACATTATTTAAGCAGTGCGATGCAGAGTCGGGCAAAATTTAATATTTAACTACAAGTTGGATATTCAGATACGTCTCGGGGAAGCGTTATGCATTAAAGGACACCTCCCCAAAACCTCACCCCTAAGAATAAGTGTAGGTATTCTGAAAAATGTGATGTATTCCTGCCATTTGATGTACAATATTCCTTACGAAAATGAACAACATATATATATAAATCAAGATATTCGTAGTATCTTGAAAATGTGACGTACCGGTTAAAGTTGTACATGTATTATGCACTAAGCTTTAGTTGGAAAGAATTTTTAATTCAATAAAAAAAAAACTTTACTTTAGAATTAGGAAAGATCATAGCTGAGAAGATAACAATTATATTTGGTGACAAATGTATACTAGGGAACAATATTACAATTGTTATCCTGTTATAGATTGTTCATATAAAAATATATAGCAGTTGACAAATCTATTTTATCTATAATAATAATAATAATAATAATGATAATAATAATAATCATAATAATAATAATAATAATAATAATAACGTTTATTTAACCAGGGTAGACACTTCAGTTATGAAACTGTTCTTCCAGCGGGCCCTGCATAACATAATATGTTATTATACTACCCTTCTCCAGTCTAATATGCTGAGCGCCTAGCTAGAAGGCAGAAGGTCCCATTGTTATAAGTCTTTGGTATGACTCGGCCGGGGTTCGAACCCACGACCTCCCGTTCATGAGGCGGGCGCTCTTATGAGAAACCTTCACCCAGGAAGAGCACAACTCATTTGCTATTTGCGTTCTGGCAATTGTAGTACAAAGGACATTAGCAGGTGAATGAAATGTTTCATCACCACACACATTAATGGAAGAACCCATAAATTTGAATACATTTACTTGATAAACGATCAAGGGAATGGCGATGCCCATGTTGTGCTGAGAAACGGTACATTACTCTTGTTTCATACCGCTCGTATACACTTTGGTTGGGAATCGTGTAGATTAATGGGCAAGAATATAATAATTTTTTAGAAGAAGTAAAGTTATTTCTTGGGGTGAGGTTTCCTTTAACGAAATGACTAATCAGAAAATGTCGAGGAACTAAATATTTGTTTACAGTTGAAAGTCCAAGTATTGTTTTATCATTTAACTGCGTTTATAATATGATAACGATTCAATATTCTTTTAACACCGAGTCCTATTGTCATTATAAAGAGGAATCGAATAAGAGAAATTCCTCCTATAATAGTTTCAGCTGACGTTAAATATTTAATTGACGTCATTTCGCAAGCAATGTTTGTATTATTATTTTTTTTCCGTTTCGCAATTCGGAATTTTGTTCTAAGTTCTCATTAAAATGTGTTCCTAGTGAACTTGCATTATCTTTGGGGACTTTGAAAATGGCTGACAAGGATTCTTTATTTAGATCCAGGTGAATATGATAGGGCGAGGAGGGGGATTTAAAACTTCTACATAGAATCGTGAAATTCATTATCTATGCTAATTTATGCAAATGTATTCAAAATCACACAAAAAATGCTTCTTCTCCTTCATTTCTCGACCGATTTTGATTTGGTTTGCTTTATCTGGTAGAGCTAACTTTGGTACATCTAAACTTCTACACAGAATTTTGAAATTGTTCTCCATTAATTAATTATGGTAATTTATGCAAATTTATTCCAAAAATAACAAAAATTGCTTCTTTTCCCTCATTTCTTGACCGATTTTGATTTTGTTTGCCTTATCTGGTAGAGCTAAATTTGTAACACTAAACTTCTACACAGAATTTTTAGATTTTGCTCCATTTATTAATAATGGTAATTTATGCAAATTTTTTGCAAAAATAACAAAAATTGCTTCTTCTCCCTCATTTCTTGACCGATTTTGATTTTGTTTGCCTTATCTGGTAGAGCTAAATTTGGAACATTAAACTTCTACACAGAATTTTAAAATTTTGCTCCATTGATTAATTATAGCAATTTATGCAAATTTATTCAAAAAATAATTTAAAAATCACAAAAAATGCTTCTTCTCCTTCATATTTTGACCGATTTTGATTTGATTTGCTTTATTATAGAGCTAACTTTGGTACACTATACCTCTACGCAGTATTTTGAAATTTTTCTTCATTATTTAATTATGGTAATTTATGCAAATTTATTCCAGAAAAAACAAAAAATTGTTTCTTCCTCATTTCTTGATTGATTTTGATTTGGTTTGCTTCATCTGGTAGAGCTAAATTTGGTTTACTAAAATTCTACACAGAATTTTGAGATTTTGCTCCATTGATTAATTATGGTAATTAATTCAAATTTATTCCAAAAATAACAAAAAACGTCCCTTACAAAATTGTTATTTTGCCATATTTTTCTGTTGACAATTTACTGACTATTTATACCTCTGTCCTTTTTTTTTATCATAATAAAAGGAGAGTATGTTTACTGTTATCTCTAACTAAGTTCGAGTCCTGCTTGTCAACTATATATTTTTTCAACCAATTTTCATTCCATTTCCTTTAGTTTCTATTTAATCTTGTACAGCTAAATAAAAATATGTCCCTTCCAGGGCATCAGATTTTTAATTTTTGACCAGTTCAAAAGTGTACCACATAAAATTTACGATTATTTGTTGTTGCGAGATGCGGATGAGCGCTACGTCATTGACGTTCTGGTTCAATATGTCTTATAATTCACCACACAATGGGTTCATCTTATCGTCGATTGTTATACCCTCGTGTGTGACGCAATCTTGACAAACCATTGAATGCGCCAAGAGGCTACAGTGGGACATGAAATGTTAATTTCTGGATTCGCTACTGGACTTCAGGTAAAGGGTAAGAATATTTCGTAGAACATAACATTCATGTGGAAAACACAACACAACAAAGACTGCAACGCACTTGTTAGTGGTACAATATATATTTTTTAATCTTTTTAATGGAGATATATAATTAGAAGTTAACAAAAATGTATTTACATAAAACAGTGCAGTGACAATATAAACTTCTAACTAACCTCATTCAAGACATGACGTGTTTACAAACAATAAAGCCTAACAAAAAGGCAAAATATTTATCACTGCGTATGATCAGAAAAAAAAATCTAATTTATAAAAAGAAATATCCTGAAAATGTAGTCAAGAATCAAATAATATCCCTCATATGATTTTTTTTCCTTTCAAAAATGCAGTAATGCATCATTCTCAATGTGTTCTTTCTGTACTGCATGCGATAATTATTCTTCAATACTTGATCCTCCTACTTATATACCTCTCCCTTGTGTGTTCAGAATAAATCTAGGGGCGTCGCTGAGGGAAAATGGGTCGTTTCAACTATTCATTTATTTTCAATCGGGGACAAATTTGGGGACTTTTTATTACTTCCTTGCCGGCATTTTTTTGTGCTCTTTTTATTCCCCGCGCATAAAAAGGTTCTGGCAACGCCCTTGCGTAAATCAAAATTTGATAATATAAGGGAGCACGGTTAACGCAGTTGTATACGACTCGATATAACGCCTGATTCTATATTTAAGATCGATTTCAAAATAATGTACTTAGAGAGAATTATATAATCCATCAAAATACACGCCTAAACCAGACTGGCCTAAACATCACACCAGTATTGACTTTGAATATAATACTTTAATGTTTTCTTCAATCTTTGGCAAAATGCGTTTAAAGCTTGTTCAATCTTAGGTTACGTAATATTCAAAAGGCAACAACGGATAAACATTCATGACGAGAATAGTGATATCCCCCCCCCCCCTCCTGCACAGACATGCATCATATATAAGACTCATTCACAAGCTCACCCAATTATGGACAGTATATTGAGATATTAAACCTCAAAACTAGACTGCCTTACAGAATAATATACTCTTATCGTAAACGTATGAACGAATATCGAGGAATGATATCTCTATAGTCAGATCGTGATTTTATTAAACAATCTGCAAAACAACAAGATGAACAATCGTCTGAACCCTTCACTTTTAAAAGCATAAATTCAATTCATTTTCAGCAACGAAATACGAATAAGTTTGTTGCTTCTCTATTTTTGGAGAAAAAAAAATCTCCAATTATCAAGATTCGATGTAAAATTGGCAGATTGTTTAATAGTATTAATCACATCACCATAGAGATTACATTTCATAACATTCGCAAAATTACTCAATCGTGAATTTATGAGCATTTCTTACTATTTTAATACATCTCGTAATCAGTAATTCAAAGAAAATCAAAGAAATACATTATTGAGATGTACAAGTCTTGGAGCTTTGGCCTTATGATTGTGTCATATTGTTTCACTCAAACCCTTGTATTTTTTTTTATATGAACTAAAAATACTTCATCAGCAGAGATGTATTCATATCTAAAGGCTTCGGGCTTTGCTTATTAAGCTGAAACATGTTTTGTGTTCGTAAGATGCGAGTGCGAACATTGTAATATATCGCATATAACCAGTTGACACGATACGTAATTTTTTTTTTTAAATAAATGAAAAAGAAAAAAGAATTATAAGCACGAGATCCAATAAAATACAAAAGCTGTCTTTTAAAGAAGATATCAGACGCAATGTGCACTAAATTATCAATAAATATGTATAGTACTTTCAAATATATTATATTAACGGAAGCGCTGTTTATACAGCCTTAGGATTCGGGACAATCTATTCCTCGTTATCTACTTTGCTGTGTAGTAATTCCCAAAATATTGATGGGGGGGGGGGGGGGTAAATACCTGTGTCCTATTCACAATGATCTTAACATAAATACACGAACTCCTTTAATACATTGATCATATAAACAGTAGCACATGCCAACCAATCAAATGGCACCAATAAAGAGGGGGGAGAAGAAAAGGAAGGCGCCTACACCAAATCAGGGGCATTGTAAAATTGAACTTCATTCATCTTCATTCATCGAGTATATCTGTCGTACCCCCCCCCCCCCCCCCCATGGTAAATTTAGTGCAGTATCATAAAATCACAACAAATTAATACAAAATAGTGAGATATAATAAACAGGTAGATGACAGATAAACAATAAATAGACCACAGCTCACCTTTATAGGTTAATTGAGTGCAAATTAAAAAAAGTAACTTATTATAAATACATGTAGGTAGTTGTTTGATAAATAAATCATTGTTTAACACTAAATAAATTATGAATACAAATAAAGATACACACTTTGAATAAATAAAAAAATTACAATGAAAAATAACATATACAAAATAGAAAGGTAACTTTAATAGCAAATCGTACGTTGAAATGACAGGCTTGTTTGATTCACAAAAGGTGTATTTGCAAAACGGCATATACAATGTTCTTTGACTTAGATAACAAAACACATAAGAGGCTATACAATGGGGGCAATAGGAGCATTACACTACAGTGGCAGATCCAGGTTTGATTTTTTTTTTGGGGGGGGGAGGGGAGGTGGGGGGATGTTTGCCGACATTTCGTTATGCCAAGAAGGGTTTAGAATACAAAACTGATAGGGAAAATAGTTATGATGGAAGAGGTGTAGAGTTAAAATTGAATGGACTTTTACAAGAAATGAGACAGCAGTGAACGTCTGGGATGAAACTGATTGAGAAAGTTAGATACTGACAGTTATGGAACAACTTGGTTGTATGGTACATACCTAGACAGACAGGAAAAGAAAGAGAGAGAGAGAGAGAGAGAGAGAGAAGGAATACAGTCCAAAGTCTATTTTTGCCTGATACCTGATATCAACTTAAACTCAAGTGCTTGATTAGCAATATTGATTTTCATTATCTTCCATAAATGTGATTATGCACCAGTCACCTGCAGTACCACCCCATATAAAGTATCAACTGTATAGAGTTACAATAATCAATCTAAACTTCAAAATTGAAATCAAATTCCATAACAGGGCCCTGGTTGAGTAATCATTCTAGATTTGTCTTCAAACATCTCATCCAATTCATTCTACCTATCTTATCTGCTGTCCAATCAGTTCAACATAATGTTTACTTCAATCAGTTCTTATAATTAAGGTTACAATGGGTAGGGGGTGTCGGGAGAAGGGGGTATGTATCACTCTATCACCAGGATCAACACCACGAGGGCTACTGGGGCTACTTATCATTTCATCTATAACCTACATCATTTAGATGATAAAGTTTGGTAATGCACTATCAGTATGATCTCGTCCTTTCACCTAATCTTGATGGTAATCCTAAGACCTGTTACAGATCCCTTGTATTGTCAAGGAACATCTCCTCTGTGCCTATTGCGCCGTATCCTGTCTTTTCACCTATCCCTGAAACTGATTTTAAGCAGTGTGCCTGAAACCTGGATCCCTCTACGACAATCCCCGTACCAAGTCCCTCTTATATCTGGGAATATTTCCTTTCCGCCATTGTATCTTTACGTTTTACCTAGCCCTGAAACTGATATTAACTGGTGAGCCTGGCAGAAAAAGGTTCCTTGTACAGCTAAAAAACACCTCCTTGTGGTATCTCAACCTTTCGCCTATTTGTATCCCTGAAGGTGATTTTGTGGTACTAAGTGGTACTAAGATCCCGCATAAAGCCTGGATCATCTCATCTCGTCCTTTCACCTAATCCTGATGATAATCCTAATGATGAGACCTGTTCTAGAACCCTCGAATTATCGGGAACACCATCCCTGTGACATGAGTGGTATACTGTCCTTTCACCTATCCCTGAAACCGATTTTGAGCGGAGAACCTGGTACCAAAATCCCTCGTATAGCTGGGAAGACCTCCTCTGTGCCGTGGTATCGGAGCTTGAATGACGTAGATATCTTAAGAAAGAAGACAAAAGTCAGACATTACAGGTACAATTTCATATTAAACGAGCATGAAGCAGAATGTCTATAAATACATAAAGGCAACAATGATATTGCACAAAAAAGACAAATATTACCTAAATTAGAAAATATAACATGCAAATATTTAGAGCAAGTTTTTGCCACATTATAATCTCCCCCCCCCCCCAAAAAAAAAGAAGAAGAAAGAAGCAAGAAATCTTCAAAAACATGTGATGACCAATATAGATTTAGAAATAACTACTCCACATGACATTATTTATATTTATATAATATATATATATATATATATATATATATATATATATATATATATAATATATATATATGTGTGTGTGTGTGTGTGTGTATTTTAATATCAAATTCGCCGGATCATCATGTAGTTTTGAATAAAACATTTTGATAAAACTTCCTAATCCTTACCCTTGCCAGAGCTAGATGCATCTCCAACTCGGCAATCCTTCTCCCGATGCACATCCTGGGTCCGAAGCCAAAGGGCAGGGAGGAGAAAGATGAAGCCTTCTCCTCTGAGGAGATTGCTTCTGAACCTTTCAGCCATCGTTCTGGTAGGAAGGTATCTGGGTCGGGATAGATCTCGGGGTCTCGTCCCATCACGTATTGGAGAGAACCGATCATGGTCTGGAAAAGAGGAAGGAGAGGGGTGGGGCGAGATAATTATTACTCCTTTTTGCTCTTAATTGTATCATTTTCAAATATATTTTCATTTATTAGATACAGTACTTGTGTAAATATATTTTTATGAAGACAAACTTATGATACAACGTTCAAAAATTTACCTAGGATTTGTTAATAAACTTCCAGATTCTTTAGGTAATTTTATTTAGATTACATTTTTTCCTCCAAATTTAAATTCAAATCTGATCAAATAAAAAAAAACATTGTTTACATCGTAACACATGAAAAGCAGCTGAAGCTGGACCATTCTTGTTTCCATATGTTGGCATACTATTCCGCTTTATTATTGACCATAAACATAAATAGTGAAAAAATCAGACTCGTATGTTCTAGTATTTACTTTATAGAATTTCACATTATGGTGTACGTGGGATGGCCATGGAGTGGTTCAGGAGCTAACTTTCAGATAGAAATCAGTATGTATTTTTAAATGACAACTCTTCGGCTCTTCGTAATATACATTGTGGTGTTCCACAAGGTAGCATATTAGGCCCACTTTCATTCATTTTATATACTAATGAATTTTGTCGATCATCTGATATTTTGTCTTTCGTACTTTTTGTTTATGACACACAAACAAATATTTTCTCACATTGACTCTCATAGATTAGTTGAAATAATTAATATTGAAATGTGTGATCGCGGATTAGAGCGAACAAATTATTAATGAATGTCCAGAAATTGAAATACATGTTGTTTAGTAAATCTATAGATTCGTTGCCACCTAACAGAGTTTGGGGAAAATACCCCATTGGCGTGTATTTCATTCAACACATTTTGGGTGTAAACGGTTGATAAAAAACTTTCTTGGAAATATTACATCGACAATATTTGTCAAATTATTTCCCGAAATATTGAAATTATTATTAAAGTAAAGAAATATCTTCCTTTTAATTCATTAATAATGTTCTATAGTTCTTTGAACTGAGTAACTGAAAAAATAAATTTCACGGTGGTTCCCAGCAAAAACACATGCATAAATAATTATGTGTCTCATATTGCAAGTTAAAAAATAAAGAACAAGCAAGCGATTCAAAATTAAAGAGGACTCGAGATCTTATCTAAAACAACGGCCGTGCTTTTTATACTACTATAAGACTACAAATCTCAGAGCTAACTATTGCCAATAATACAGGCTCTTGATTGCTGAGCATTAATGATGTATGAGCTCTGATATTGTTGTATACTTACTCCTTTAGGTATGTGATAGCCACCTATTGTTACATCTTTATCCAACACCCTGTTGTTAGCCGGAACTACTGGGTATAACCTGGATTTTAAAAAAGGTAGAAAGGTCCACACATTATTCCATATTTTCTTTGGTTTAGCTTCTTTATTAAATACATAAATAAATAATAAACACAAATATATAAATTATATTATATAAAATATATTAATTGATTGATCAATCAATAATAATGGTAAAAAACAATAATAACAATAATGATGATGACGATAATGATAGTAGCATTAAAATAATAATTATCATTATTATTATAATAGTAGTGTACTTAAAGTTCAGTTTCCAAATAACCAGTTATTCGTTTTCTATAACGATCTAAAAAAAACAATTTACTTATTTCTATTGTGCCAAGATCAATACGCAAATCAATTTTGTTTACAGGAACAGAATGTACATTGATCTAGATGTCTCAAATTCAAATTTGTAATGTGCTTGTCAGTCTCAGGCTCTGAATTCAATCTCGTCTCAAAGCACAACAAAACAAAGTTTCAGTCGACTTGAGATCCTGGTCTGTTAGTGAAGACAATATCAACATGATTTTACATTATACATCATTCATGTTTTATCCCCTCTTTCTCTATCTCACCTTAGTGTCTCCTTGATGACCCCTTTCAATAGTGGCATGTTTGGAAGATCATCATGCTCGGGAATACACCTACCCCTCGCGGCAAGGGCGCCCTCCACTTCTTTCGCGAGCCTGTCTTGAGTGTCAGGGTGACGAGAAAGTTCATACAGCGCCCAGGCTAGTGTGTTTGACGTCTGTAATCAGGAATTAAAAGAAATATTCAGAAATGTTAAGATTATGAGGAAGAGACATATATACAAACACTCTTTGTTTTAATCTTAAATAAAATAATCGGCCACTTGAAGTTTAATAAGAATACAGACGCAAGAACACTAGAAGCGAGATGCGGATGATTGGAAGGTTTGGGAAAAAATGAAAATTACAAAAAAAAAAGTGGGATTAAAATTTCAAAATAGGGAAGGGGAGGATAAATAAACATTTCCGAATGTGTTTAGTTTAGAACGTTATCAAGCTTATGGAAACGATTGTATATTGTCTTATTGAGAAGGCCAACAATAATTATTTGTGCAACTTCCTTGACAAACCGTTACTTTATACCTTCAGTCTCAAGAAAATGAGAAAATGAGAAAATGAAGAAAGGTCTCGGTACCTTATCCTAAAAACTGTTACTCAACACAGGCTTTTATTTTGGCTAGACACACTTCGCTATAACGTAAAGGTGTACTACTCGTATAAATCATCTCCAGCAATGAGGCCCGAGGCATAGTACAAGCATCACAAATAGCCATGGCGCCTTCAAAAATTTAGAAAGTTAGGATCCACAAGATTTCGGAAGACGTTCTTTGACAATTCAGGCTCTCCCGGATTTTCTAGCACTGAGCTAAAAAGGGATAGGCTTTTGGCAGAAGTTAATGTGAAATCTGGCGGGAGAAAATCAGCTGCCGTTAATTTGTTGATCACAGATGGACCGCCCTATAGTGGCTTCCGATGACAACACGTTTCCGATACTGATTACGAAGGACTTATCGTGCTTGCAATAACACAGTTCTAAACCACGAAAGATGGGCAAACTGACTTGAAATCGCATTTTAAGGCACGGAGTTGTGGCGTTAATAACGTTACTTTGAGAAGACGGTATTAATAGTAGTTCATTTCACGTTATAGGTACAGGTTGTACCTTAAAACACAGGCATTCCCTTTAAATGCGAGGCGTTATTTAAAAGGTAATGCAAAGTCGGTTTGGAAATTCTGCACATTGGAAGGATAGTAATTCTTTAAAATGTTGATATATTTGGATATCCCTGTGGGTGTATCATAAGCACTGGAAAATTTAGCCCCTAAAACACTTTTGCTTTCGAGAAATTGAATATGACAATTTATCGGTGCAAATAGCGCCTATACGGCTATACAACGGTAGCTGCGACCATGAAAATCTCGGAATATGCAATTATGATATATAATTTCGAAACGGGAATAGAAATCGGTTGATTTTAGACAAGAAACATTGTTTTATAGCTAAAGGAATATCTATCTTGAGAGGGAGCTATACAACATAAAGAGTTTATTATTTACAATAATATTTTACCTAAAAAGATATTTTAAAACAATCCATAGATGATGTCTTACGCCGTGGACCTACATGTACGTAGTAATAGATCCATGCTTACGCCTACGCCGACCAGTGTAATAAATGATCACAACGATGATTGACAACACGAAATGACAGCAAATTCACAATAGAATGGCTGTGAATATCTTGACCAATTTGTTTACTCGAAATGTCATAGGTACCATACGAAACACTGAACTAAAACGGAATAAACAAAAAAAGAAAAACACGTCATTTTGAAATATGGGAAATGGGAAGCGACGCTTATAGACACTGTCATTCTTCGACGTCATCAGTGAAAATGATACGTTATAACAAAAACGTCTGGAAAACATTTACTTATCTCCAGGTGACACAAAGAAAGGGATTGGAAACTCGTTTCGAATGCCTGCCTTTAATTCCGGTAGGGGAAGTGCAAATTGAGGGGTAATGCTTTGTTCGAATGACCAGAAATTGGTTCGATTGGTGAGGAGGATTAAGCGCATCTCCATGCCCCGTCAGTCGGCTGGAGAGGTGCTGGAAGTGATAGGCGTAATTCGATTTATGCAACTACTATCCCCTCGACTGTTATTGCTTAGGACCAGAATTTGGCAAGTCATCTTCTTAAAGACCCCCATTACGTATGCTGACTATCACTTCATGCAGTGTATGGCTTGGGTTCCAAAATGAAAATTGACAATGCTTGCAATATATATAGTTGCCTTTAGGATATTTGTGAATGGGTTAGACTAAGGAAAAATTAAATACAGTTTTTCCCTTTTTACTTTCTTTCTTTATCTACTTATTTGTATTTATTTGTATTTATTTGTAGTTTTATTTTTAACACGATGGCATTGTCGGTTACAAAACTGCTTTCCACATTGGCACTGTTTTGCCCTGACGATAATATGATTATAAATTGAAATTATAGACGAATTAATTTGCTAAGTTCTACAGAAATGAACCGAATAATTATTTAAGGTAGACTAAGAACTGATCAATAATACAGGCAAATTTATATGTCTATCCTGAAAGATAGCTTGTCTCCTGTTTCTACACTTTACAGCTGACCATTGACTGTTTAATATAAATGCTAAGACTTTGGGAATATGCTTATAGCTATAAGCACCAAATGGATTCCATATTTTAAGTCATACCCGACGGTCCCAATGTTGTACTACAGGCCACTGCGGCATCAACTTGGTTTCGGACTCAAGACCTCGCTATACTCGAGATCACTGCTCTATTACTGAGCCATAATATTAGCAATTATTACCCGTATCAGACATCTGAGCTGGTCATTTACAAAACCGTATTGCCCTAGTTTTCACTAGCAGTGGGAACGGAGGGGTATATTCTTTGTATTTTCCTTGGTCTCCCTGCGCGTATTGACTTTGCGTGTAGAGACGAGTGAAAATATACCTTGGTATTTTCCACGGTCTCGCATTTTCATTGCGCATCTATTAATATTATGCATACGAGAACCTGCGCACTTTGCGCGCACTCTATTGTGACGTAATAATCACACCAAATACACACTGTTTGTAGTGTATCGAAAATTTTGTCAAGCACTGGATGCACAGTGTTGGTTTGAAAAGTTTGTTCAGTTCTTGAGATTGTCATGGTGGATGTCTCTATTTGCTCTAGATGTCTGATTTGGATAACAATAAAAATATTGACTGGCTTTACTTTCGGGGGATATCAGAAATATTGACCGCGCTAAGACCATATTGCCCTCGTCTTTCGACTCGGGGCAATATGATCTGAGCTTGGTCAATATTTCTGATATACCCCTCAAGGCCAGTCAATATTATATAAATATCTACGTGATATTTACACTGACTTTTTAGAATCGCTAGCCGTGTTCCAATTAAGTTAAATCTATCATTCTTGTCCATGTAGTCAGGTAATATGTTTCGCTGTATTTCACTTTGACCGAAAATACTATCTTCGTTGCTATACCAGTAATCATACCCGTATTAACAGCGCAATGTTATTCATCAATTCCAACGAAAATGAAACAATGATAATCTCGACTGGTCAAACGTTTTTTTCGTTTCAACCTTCATGGAAAAACGCACTAGATAACAAAATCAACTAATTTTGCCAATTTCTTAAAAGAAAACACTTGATTTCTTATTTCGTGTACATTTCAGTAGGCTATCTAACAAATTATAATTATATATATATTGCTAGTGTATTACACATAAAATAGTCCATCTTACACTGAATAAAATTGCTTTTTTTTTGGGGGGGGGTCTCACATTAGTCACATGAGACTATCATTACACTCACAAATTTTAAGAAAAGTTAGGCAAACAAATTCCAATCCTATGAGTCACGTGGTGTATTAATATAAGACCTTTTATTTTTTGGCATGATTCAAATGTCCCTATATAAAAACGTAAATAGAACATGTATGTTTAAGGCATCATCGCCTTTCGTCTGATTCACAAATTGCTAAACCACACGCTGTCATAATCGTGTAGTATTACCCCTGTTCGCAAAACGACCAGCAGCATCAGTTTCACTTCACCTAACTCTGTATCAGTCAACACTTGCGGTCCAGAAAATTAACTTCCAATTTTCAGACATCAAGCGTTTTGCCACAATTCAATTTACCCCCGCTCTCTCCACCCGTCACCCACGTTTGTAATGTGTGGAGAAAGAATATGCTAGCTTTTCAGCTCCTCATCATGATTGCCACAAATTGATCCCACATGCCCCTGGCCCAGCCGGCTGCATATCTACTCTTATCACCCCTCCACCACGTACTTGTCGAAAACCTATAGGGGTTTGATGTCATTAATGTATGCGCGTAGGCACCCCTAGTCCTCGGGCGCTCGTATCTTTTTTCTGGGGCAAAGAAACGTTTGCTCTTTCTTAGAGCATTCAATCTGAGACTTGGTTTATCTTGAACTTGACCTCTGAACAAACAACGAGGTCACAGTCATAGACATGCTAGACTTGTGCCTACAGCAGTTTTCTGTTTTTCCTTTGCCACTTTGGATCAATAACGGCGCCGCAGTGGGCCCGAAGGCCGGGGTCGTCGTATACTTGAATTGCTTATCGTAAAGTTGGAAGTTCAAGAAGTACTTTCTTTCCCTTGGGGAACGATCTCTTGAACAGGCAAGAGTGTTTTAGTTAGGATGAGAGAGAAGGAAAACGCAATCACGTAGGCCTAGACATGTCCCAAGAAAAATAGAAAGGTACCAAGACGAATCGTGACCTTTTAGAGTTGCTCTAAGGGTGATACGGGTGACGCCAATATTGATCGACCGAAAAAATGCATCGAACGGGTTTAAAGGAGAATATAGAAGGTTGTAGCAAAAGTTTATTGTAAAATAATGTAATAGGAAATATATTCAACATTGTTAAATCAACTCATCGAGGAAAGAATTAGACGAAAGAAGAAAAATGGAAGATACAAAGATAAGCAGATTATTGAAATTGTAGAAAAAATATATGGTACGACTTGATTATTTTGGGCCTTTTGCAGCTTTACATTTACAAGTAATAAAAATTATTAACAACAACTTGAATTATCCAAGTATTTTCCAGTAAAAAAAGGGTTGAAGGAACATGAAACCATATAATAACCAATGGCATTCAACCAGTTTAAAATTTAATTAAAATTATTCCTGAATCATCCATCCCCATCTACCATCCGCAGTGGTATTTACCCCTTCCAAAAATAAAAACAAAAATGCATCATGCAAGAAGGGATACGGAAATTGTTGCCAAATATTCCAGAGGATTGATATGCCAAGACTTGATTCGAAAGACAGGAATCGAGAGTTGTTGTCGTTTCCTTCGCGATTGAGATAAGATCGCGGAGGGGTGTGATGATGAAAGCAAAATTCGGAAGGGGGTCGGTATCAAGATGCACAGGGAGTCGAAAGTTCTTATAGAGGAATGATGTATCACGCAATCTTTGAGGTTCGGTTTCATTTCTAGGTAACTTCCGGAGGCAATTTTAATTTGGAAATTATTTGAGGCAATATAAGGCGATAATCATTCCACAAATGGCGCATAAAAACGCCAAAGCATTTTAAAGCATGAAGCGCAGATACCATTGCGGTTGAGATAAAGTTTTGTACTGTCACCATAGCTTTAGACGAGCAAGTTTATGTTTTCCTACTGGGTACCCATCAACCTCACTGGGTTCGGGAGAGGAAAATGTAGACATGATAGATGGATGTCTCAAATATGGCACTCGGAGTTGCCTTTATCAGCTAGCAGCCCCGGTAGATAACCCCCTTTTTATAAATTTCTGGATATGTCACATTCAGTGATTAATGTAGAGGGTTCCCGATGTTGGAGTTGCGTTTGATAACTTAATTTTCACCAGGTTCTTAAAAACCCACAAAAAACGTATCAAACTTACAAGTAAAATGCAGTAAAGATAAATATTCAATGTAGTGCAAAAGTATCGACATTATGCGTTTAGCATTTGAAATAGTAAGACGTAAAAGCGGATGACATTTCCCATGATTAGGCATTATTGACGATGATATAGATATAAGGTCATATCAAGGGCAGGATGGATTTGATATGTAGGTGAGGCAATGGGCGAAGGGCCAGCTAAGGATTAGGTTAAGGTCATGGCTTCGGAATCACAACACCAAAGGATTTGGAAAATCATGAAAATTACGATTGGCGCTTGTAATTGACATTGCACTATTTCACTCCCCCCCCTCCCCCCCCCCTCCCTCTCTGTCACTCTCTCTCTCTCTCTCTCTCTTCCTTCTATTGAAGTGTCTGGTTTCTCCCCCTCCCCATCCCACTTCCTTTCTCCCCCTCCCCCTCTCTCTCTCTCTGCCTATATTTCTTCTATGGAAGTGTCTGCTTACCCCCCCCCCCCCCCTTTCCCCCTCTCTCTGTCTCTCTCTCTCTGTCTCTCTGTGTGTCTCTCGCTGTCTCTCTCTTTCTCTTTCTCACTCTCTCTCTCTCTTCCTTCTATTGAAGTGTCTGCTTACCCCCCCCCCCTTTTTTTCCTCTCTCTCTCTCTCTCTCTCTCTCTCTCTCTCTCTCTCCTTCTTTCTACATCTACATCTATACCCCCCCCTCTCTCTCTCTCTCTCTCTCCGCCTGTCCGACCCTGTCTCCCCATTTCTCTTTCCCTCAGCCAATTGTCACTTTGTAGGTAGTGGCATTTCCATGTTAACACAACGCCCACTTGATCTACTCCATCACTATTCATTACCTCTCTGCTTTTTATCTCTGCTCTCCCTGCATTATGTATGCATACACCATGGAGGTACTTCGTATTGCAAATCCTACTGAAGTGGCTAAACGATTGTGGATGACAAGATATCTATGCTAGTTTGTGTGTATGTTTGCACGTTTGCATGATATTGTTTATATTAAAGCAACATTTCTAATAAAAGGATGTGGTACTATTTGCAAAACAGAAACAGAAGTTAGGATGAGATGAATCAAACCGAGCAAAAGTATAAAAAAAATAACTTAAAAAAAACATCGGCCCTCTTTACTAAGTGTCAAAAAGGAAAAAAAACAGTGGTGGAGGGGGAGGTGTAATTGCTATTGTTCTTTAGTATTTCATCCACCTAGTAAGACTAGTACACTGCCTTGACCCACCCCCCCCCCCCTCCCTTCGCATGACATACATGTATATGCTACAGAAAATACATCTGAGGTATTTCTCCCGGTTTCCCCCCAAGACCTACCGTATCGACCCCTGCAAGTAGGAGCTCACAGGCGTTGCTGTAGACCTCTTTCATACTGAGCTGTTGACTGGCCAGGAGATGGGTTAGGATACCACTGTCTTCCACTACATCACCTTCTTCGGCCAGGGTAGCTAGCTCTTGAAGACGTGCATCGACTGACTTCTTAGCTGCATTGATAAAAGAGAAGACGTTGACAAGTTAGTGAATTAGGCAAAGAAAACATAGATAATAAGTGAGAAAATTAGAGAAAAAATGGAAGATAAAGACATGCAGACAGATAAACAAAGAATATCAAATACATCTTTTTAACATTATTTTGAAAAACGATGAAATACACGGTGAGATAAGCCAAGAAAGGAAATAAACTTAAATGATTTATTTTTGTCTGAGTGTTTGTCAAATATGTCTCTATTAAAGCTCTGTTTGTTCAACAAGAAATATTTATTTAATAATACAGTTTATGAATGAATTATAAACCTCGATGACAAAAATATATCATTTTCAATACTTCAATGTAGCACAGTCTTCTGAGGTCCTTATTCAATTAAGTTGGGTCTATTACTAACGCGACCCTGGCTCTAAATTCACTTTTAAAGGAGAACATAATTTGACCTGGGAGTAACTTTCTTTGTTAAAATTTTTAACAAAAGCCTAAACCCATGGTCGGGTTTATATTTTAGAAGAATACGGGGCTTCGAGTTAAACCTTGCTCGACTTATTATAGTCCCAACGTGCCAAATATTTGCCAACCTCTTTAGTCTCTATGACTGTGCAGCTCATTGAAGTTTTGTATCGATAAGGAACCCAGACACCATAACATAAAGACATGTATTCTTTGATTAATTAAGTTACAAAATTAGTTCAGTTGGCGCTCCTTAGATCAGTTGACTAATTGTGTTGAACTATGCACTGATTAACCTCCCTGCGACATGACATTAAATGTCACGCGACCAAAATTGATCTCTCCATTGAGGAAGGTTCCACCCCTTCACCGCCCTCTCACAACAATGCAAGTTACAAGGGTAACCCGAAGAAAAACAAGAGACCAATTATTGCATCCGGATGGTGACGAGTACTTGACGAATCAGATAACCCATCAAAACATCACGCTTGGGGAATAATAAGTCATCGTTTTGACATTGCTATAAATATTCAATCTGTTGTTAAACTTTCGTGTTTTTTAATGAGCGAAATATGGATGCCAACCAAACATGAAGGCAACGGAACAAGTAAGAAATCCATAAATTAGGACTGATTTTTCGAAGGGAGTTATTATTGACTAACTAACGTGATATAAATTAGTAATCGGAGGCTATTGCAGAAAGTAATCAGGTGCAAAATAAAAAAAACTTTGCTTCAAAATGAACGGTGCTGCACTTGTAAGAACATGTAAGATATTCATGTATGAAACTGGTACTGATTCTCTACTGAAAATAGAGAAAATAAATGTTATATAAGAAGAAAAAATACATCAGCTATAATGTGTCATAACGAACTTTCAATAAACTGAATCACTTTTGGAGTCACTCAAAATTACGAGAAATCGCCGACTTCTGAAAAGTGATTGTTCTCCAAGATTGTAAGACTAGGGTTTAACCCTGCATCTCGTCAGAATAATGAATACAAGTTTTGACAGCTTTTACTCGGCGACTTCCCAGGGCTATATTAAACGCGCTCAAGTTTGCATCAAATTTTATGATATTAGTTCTGACCACACTGGTTTAGACAGGAAGTGGGCTGAGCAACTTCTTGTTCCTACAACTTGAAGGTCTGATACTCACTCTGAGTGGAGGAGGGGGAAATGGAACAATTACCCCCACCAACAGATCAAAGGGGAAAACAGAAAGTCCCAAGGTGCCCGCCGATCGGGGGAAAATGACCACAAGCTTTATTAATGAAAGGCGTGTGCAAAAAAAGAGAAATTTTCAACTCCCTTGACATAGTGTGCCCTGGGAAGTGTTATAGGAGGATGGACTAACTACCTTTCTGCTTCGTAAATGCTCGGTGTCGATGAGAAACTTGTTTTAAAACTCATATTGGTCAATAGTTCAGACAACTTTTGGGTGCATTGACAAATGTAAAAGCAAAACTTGTCTTTTACTTTAAAAATTAATTCAAACATTGTTTCTTCAAACGTTCAAAACTGAGCTAGACGTAGAAAACAAAAATAAACTTTAACAAATACAGGCAAAAATATAAAATTTGAAGAAGATACATTATTTCCAAACACGCTACAAAAGCAATAAGTAATGCTGGAAAGCTAAAATCATACATGTAACTAGATTCAGAATAATTTAGACTAATTTAATTATTTCTCGTTTGCACCCCTGCTAGTCGACTGCCCAGTTATCTTCATATCAGCCCTTATGAGATACAGTGGTCGGAACACTAGGGCGTCGGTCAGTATGATTGGTTTTACTTGCGGCTATCACTGTCGGATCTCAACTCGAATGTACCTTCAAACTTTCACTGAGAAAGAGAAGGTTGAGTTATGGTAAAGCCTTTACTAAAGGTGAAAAATAAGTCGTGAGCTTTCTCATTCTTTGTATGTCAGTTTGGAAATATCATCGTAGAAATGCCCCCTGAAATACAGATTGCTCTTCGAATGCGCCCATGATGAAAGAAGACGAGAGACAGCTGAAAACGACACTTTGGGCCTAACTCCCTTATATACCACACCAGTATGTAGTTCATTAACCCAATTTTTGTGTGCAGTGCGTGTGATTTCATGTTATAGAATGAGGCCGTTTCTATTCACTTTAGCACTTTAAACCTCACATTACACATCAATTCTGAAATACTACACATTAATCCTCTCAAAATTGCTTCCAGATTGTTTTACCCCACCAATCACATCCGTTCTTCCAACTAAATTTATATAATTCCATGCTGTCGGAAGGATTAATGATGACATCATCGTTGTGAAGTTTTGAAACTCTTCAACAACAGTGAGAACAAACTGTATTGTTTTCTAAATCTAGGAGCACGCGAACCCAGGATTTCCTAAAAATAGAGGTATCACAATGACAAAAAGCGGTTTACGAAACTGTATTGAGATTGCAATGTGCCCTTCAGGTAAAAACCCACGCTCCCCGCGGCAACTTTTCACCACACGCTACTGCAAGGTTTTGTTTCAGCGATTGTCTAAAACACAAAACATGAGCGGTTATGTTATCTTCCTTTTACCCATCGAACCTGTACCGTCAATTCCACGAGCGTTACACGAGCTCATCCCCAATAATAATAAATCATAACCAAAGACAGTGTCAACTCGGTGATGACATGTTACAGGATATCTCAATTATGTCAACACTTAGATTTGAGGTCTCCGGCAAGACATTACGTGTCAAAACAATTAATAAACCGATCGTGAGACAGTCCTAGATCATCGCTTGCAGACTATGGTTACGAAGACCGTAAGCCCATGGGGCAACCGGTTAGCTTTACATCTTGTAACCCCTCCCATTTTGTAATGGTCATGAAGGCACCAGTGCGGTTGTATGATACATGCTTAGAGGGGGGAAATGCCCCGCGGTCAATTTCTTACAATTTCCGACTTCAGCCCAGGCCCCCAACTAACCCTATCCCAAACTGTAGGTCTTATACAAAACTAAATCGCAATTTCAATTCTCACAACTATACCTTTGACGAAAACAGCCACGAGATAATGTCTCTTGGGCAAACATAGAGCTAACATCAGATCATTTATCTTAAACGCGATATTCAGAGGGTGGTGATTTACAAAGCATTGCATGCTAAAAGGGTTTGGTTTATTTACTATAGTCAAAGCGAACAGGAAATTTACCATCTAGTATAATTAAACACATTGTCCAATGGTGTAAGCACCGAGCAATTATCGAACCAACGACCTCTCATATGAGAGACAAGAGCCTTCAGCCCTGAACCACTGTGCTACCACATCGCACCAAACTGGATGCCATGTTTAAAAGCCATGCTGTTTTCCTTAGGTACATGTCTTACCAAAGTTAAAGATGTAGTCCCAGGCTGCTTCATGGTCCCTCCAAGGCTTGAGGTTCCATCGCCTGAACCACTCCGGTGAAGTAAGGAACATGATCTGACCCGATGCAAACATCTGACCGACAGCGTTGATGAACCCCTGTGATTTCTCTGGGATGGGTTCCTTCAGGCACCCTATCCGGGTCTCCAGGAGCAGCTTGAAGATGGCTGATAGAAGGAAGATTAGAGAACAGTTTGCCGGTAGAATACATTGATCTGCATAGATTTTAAACTGCTGTAGACCCATGTTCAACCAAAATCAAACCATACCCCCCCCCCCCTTACGCCATGTAACTAGGTTTCAGGTATTCAAAGCCCCACTGAACTACTTGCAGCTACTTGCTCCCTCTATATAGAAATCAACGCCATAGCATTGCCCGTTGGTCCCCCATGATCCTCTTTTTCTTATGTTAATTGAGAGCTGAGTTGATGAGATGGCCATTTGTAAGTGACCATGCTGGGTGGTCTAATCCCTCCTGGCCAAACTAGTACAGACAGGCTTTAAACAAAAATCCTCTTCATGAATGTATGCAAGTTGGGTAACGGGAGGTAGCTTTTGAGCAAAGTAGTCTAGGACCACCTTCTCATGTGACCCGAGACAGTCCCGAAGTGCTCCAAGACAGGTTTTGATTTTGGTGTTTAATATGCAGATCTATGCTGCCTTCTTCATCAAATCCCTAGACGCGAGAACATGCTAAAGTTAGTGGCATTATATTGCACAGGGTTTCCGATTGCATTGAGATTTCATCCCGTGTCCCAGATCACTTTTGCATATCCAATTTGAAATTGAATCGACTAAGCTCGTTTACTTACCTTCAAAACAAACAGAATGTTTTAGTCTTCAAACACGACGCTGTTATACAGGTATTATGAACTATCATGCAGGACGTTTTCAGGCGAGTTCTTTTAGTACTTGCCAGTGGACTATAAAACAATCTTGACTAGAATAAAGTAGGCTATCGATTTACCTGGATACGACTATGTTTTACAAAGTGTTGCGCCTTCCTTTATTCAGACTTCTTAACATAATTCAGTCTGCTGCTTCTGATCCATGCCCCAAATATGAACCAATACATCTAACAAAGGCTCAGTCTTTTATAGTTTGATTGTTGCTATAGTTGTTGTTGATAAAGTATGTACTCACATTCCATCGACCACTTGTACATTTCGTTCTGCAGTTCGGGCACGACCCCGTCGCCCTCGCCCTTTGTGTCTCGTACGAAGCGAAGTCTCTCGACCATGTCGGTGACGATCTCGTTGATGACGCCGGTGAACTTGGCCACCTCCCTTGGCGGCATGATCTTCCTGCCGATCGTTCGTCGGGCACGGTGCCATTCTTTACCTTCACTGGGGTTGGGGGAGATGAAACAGAGAGGAAGAGGTAGATAATGAGACCGGATGAGGTACACAGATTACCATGGATGGAGATTTAGATTGGCACATGAGATTGAGGGGAAGGGGGGGGGGCAACCAAGCTATATCCAGCAGACTTATGGCGATGGTGGAAAATGTACCGAAGGGCGTCGCGCCACCAGAATGGTGGATCAATTGAATTACTAATAGAGTTACCCTTGAAGAATCTTGAAGTCAATTTTGATATTTGACTTCTACTTCTTCCTACAAACAGACAGTATGTTGTGTAAAGTAAATGTTCTATTCTTCTTCTTTTTTCTACCCATCTGTTTTTTTATTCTTGGCAGCATCGTGACCCTCACTCTGAAAGAAATATAATAACTTTTTTCAGAGTCCCTGCCCTCAAAGTGATCCCGAGGTTCAAAAACCATCCTCAAAGGCCACTATCAACAAATATCTGCAATAAGCAAGACGTACTGTGTTAGTACTCCTAGTGATTCATCTCGATGTGCCCTGTAGACCTTCCACGGCTTCATGTCCAGCCGTCTTGGATACCTGCTGTCGTTCCTGTACATTACTTCTACCAGATCAGGCTTGGCTAAGTTGACAAACTCCAGGGTGCCCAAACGCTCCTTCCATATCGGGCCGTATTTTTTGGTGAAATCGATCTACAGAGGAAGAGAAAGAGAGGAACAGAAAAATAATGTCAATGATGCAAAGGCTAATGATAGTTTTTCATACGGATTCGTTGCTGTTGTTCATTCCTTATAAAGCCTAAATGAATAGAGCCACGATCCCTACGATGAAGCTCAGGCCAAGACTCCATTAAAAAAAATCTAAATTCAACACAACTAAATTTCCCTGGAAAAAATAAGACAAAGGAATTTTGCCATTCATTCCGGGTTTATTATATATTTCCTACGTGGGCAGTGCGTCTACACGAGAAGAGAAAATACAATTGAAATGGACATGGAAAAACATTCAAAACAAATAATTGGTGGTCATCTGGGACTTACGACATGAATACTCATTTTAACGATGTTTCGTAAGAAGAAATATTAAATACATATGCTTAACATAAACTGGCGCAGCGCCAGTGGACCCAGTCATTTGGGGAGGGGCACCGGACTTCCTATTTAGACGTTAGAAAAAGGAGATCAGCGACAGATTGGAGTGGATCTGGGAAGGAACATTCACAAAATACTTTTTTTTATATCCTCATATTTTGTTCTCATACCCGACCAAGGAGTTACATCCTTGCCCCCATCCTCTCTTTTTATTTTTTATATTCTGTTATAGGGGCAGGTTGGTGTGTCCCAGTGCCCTCAAGTATGACGATCGAAGATTCATCGGAGACCACGAACCTTTCACAGCAAATGGGTCATAATGTACCTCACGCCGAGACATTATGACGCTGGTTATGAAGAAAAAAAACAGAAAAAAATAAACATTATCCTTCTTGTCTTGGTGTATTTTGGGACGCTGCCAAGAACAGGTGGGATTATCTTCTCCTGAATCTTTGTTTTCGTTCCATCTTGAAAATTAAACGTCATCTTTGTTTTTGACATCTCTCCCTCTGCTTCCCATTATCTGTCATGGGGGTGTACATGACATATTTTCCGTGCACCTAGGTCTTCGCCACACCCTAAGGGCCTCCTCCTGCTCCTCCTCTGATTCGCAAAAACAATGGTCGAATCAGAGAGGGAAGAAGTGTGGGGTCGGAGGGCAAGAGGCGTAAGGAGAAGCGCCCGAAGTACCTGCGGTGAACAGATGCGTAGTGACGCAGTCGATCCAGAGATGGATCCTTCTTATTTCGAAGAACACCTACACCCTTGGAAGAGTTCAGGCCAGAGTCAACTCGCAGTTTCTTGTAATCATAAAGCGTACATGTCTATCTGTTTCCCATTTAGATTAATCAGGAAGAAACAAAGCGAATTAGCTGGAAGCGACGGGGTATGCTTGTCCCCCTGGTGTCGTCTCAACAGCGATTTTGTCAAACTGCTGACGACAATGTCAAACCAGAACATTCCTGCACGTCAACATGACAACATTTAAAATTCTCCGGTTTTAATACCATAACAATTTCCACCATCATGCCTCATGATGATTTCTATTAACCTATTACCAGGAACCATAAAAACTGTGGAATTCATATTTTTCATATCTACCCAGTCTCCCACCATCTCTCTCTCTCTCTCTCGCTCTCGCACCGTCTCTTCTATATCTCTTACTTTCGTTTTAAATAATTATTTTCGTTATAATTGCGAAACTTTGTTGGCATCCTCCCGACTGTTGAACCTCATTTTAACCGCAACAAATTTATGTCGTTTTATAAGACATGGAGCTTTAAGAGCCCCTTGGTACATTGGTACATTTATGACGCGACGAACTTGACTTTTACAACTTCGCTTGCGAAAAATGTGCGGTGATCTTTCCTTCTTAAAACCATACCGCCCATCTTTAATCCAACCGACTTTAATAGTTTTAAATTTGTAAGCGATAACATCATATCTGAGCCATCTTAAAGCCACACTGTACTACTTGTAGATACTTGCTCCCTCTATATAGAAAGCTTCCCCAATCGGTGCCTGTTGGTCCTCCATGATCCTCTTTTTCTTATGTTACATGAGAGCTGAGTTAATGAGATAGCCACCTGTCAGTGACCTCGCTGTTTGGTCTAATCCCTTCTGGCTGAACAAGTACAGCCGGCCTTTTTAAAACGTAATAATTCAATGTTATTCATCAATTAATGCAACTGCGTTTAAATTGACTTGACCCACAAAATACAAATTTAAATACACAGGAGAATAAATATTGTACTTCGAATTATTTTTATTGTGCTTCATAAATTATGCTAAAACAATTTAATAGTTCAATGTTGTTCTCTTTAATACACATCTAAACTTCAAGTCCGTTTGAAAAGCGAATATACGACAGTCTTGACGCAAAATATTCAACAAAACAAATCAACATGATATACACAAGCACGCAATAATAAAATCGTCGCAAAACGTTTGACGCCACAAACAAATAATAAAAGTTTCGTCTTTACAAAAATTGCCCTTTTTAGTATCTAAACGATGTAAAAACTAATACCTCATTTTACGTTTACACTTCGAGCCACAATTTTATTTTCATCTCGTAGCAAGCCCATGTTTTCACACCTGAATCGACTTTGCTATTTATGGCTGCTACGTGTTAGTAAAGTTACGCTGTAGAATCTAGACGTTGACACGGCACGACTACTGAATTTGTAAACTCCATAATGTAACAACCAAAGTGGTGGGCAAATTGAAGGTTAAGCCGAGCCGACCTCAGAAGGGGTCGCATAATAAGAATCTTCCGACACCTTTGCCCCATTTCAGATAAATTAGATTTCGAGACATGATGTTATGTGTCTTGGTTTGTGTTCAAGTTTTCGGTTGTAACACATGGGCTAGTCGCAGTGTTGTTGTTCGTTTGTAGCTTTCTCAGCCGTATTCCCGTTGTAAAACTGTAATATTTTGAGGACCCATGCCCTCCCCTGAATTGTTAAAATCGATTTGACTATCCCGAGCATCGATCTATATCACAACAATCAAGTTTATCTTCTTCTTCATCATCTATTGATTACCATCAGCAAAAGTTACAGTAAACTCTTTCGCCATTATAATTATCAGTTGCATCATTGTCGTCATTATAATACCGTCAACATCAACATCCTCATCATCACCACCACCATCATCATCAACATCATCATCACCACCACCACCATCATCATCATCAGCAGCAGCAGCAGCAGCAGCATCATCATCTTCAGCATCACCATCATCATCATCATCATCACCATCACCACCAAGAGAATGAAAGATCGTATATATTCATCATTATCTCTCCACCATCATCTCCCTTTTGCATTCATCTAATAATTAAAGAAGAAAGGAAGAAGGAAAGATGAAGTTCTGACCATATAAATATGACAATCGTCAATGTTTATCGTCATCCTCCACATACTTCAGTACCGAATACGAACTTGAGAAAAACCCTGAATGTGAATACAGGTCCCTCTTGTCGCCTAGGGCTTCCGTACTGCACAATGCCTCAATTTGCAAGCATCTTTTGGCGCGACGAAGAAACGCAAGATGCAGGTGCTTGTCATCCAAGAGATTCTTGTTTCATCGGCTAGGAGCTAGAACGAGTTGACATGGCCTGGTTTTGGAAGGGAAGTAACAATACCCTCTGCCAGCCATTTCCCCTCCATCTTATGTTCCTCTACAAGTTCCTGGTCATGAATACTTGCATTTGAATCTGCAAGCCCCATAGGATGCCCGTGTATTTCCCCCCACCCCCCTCCCCCATAGACATGGAAATAACTGAAGACAGACCAAGCCAAGGAAACATCGCTTGCCACGATTAGGTGTGTATACTCTCTCTCTCTCTCTCTCTCTCTCCCCCTCTCTTTATCTATCTCCTTTCCCTTCTCTCTTTATCTATCTCCTTTCCCTTCTCTCTTTCTTCCCCTTCTTTCCATCCATTTGTTTCTATCATCTCCCCCCCCCCCCCCAACAATGTCCATCGCCTTCTTTTCTGCCTCCTCCACCCCTTTCGTGTTCCCTCCCCATCTCTTTCCTATTCATTCATCAATGCTTAGCCATGACCATGAACTTCACGATCATCTCTCTCCTCACAAACTAACTCATCCCTTCCACCTCACTTACTCCCATAGCAACGCCACGCAGGTCCATCCACCGTGTATTGATTATCAAGCCGTATCTCATATCTTGACCGTATGTTACAAAATGAAACAGTGTACGAGATGCACCCGGTGTACATCACCTTTCAAACACATCATACATGTACATTGGGCCAATTGTGTAAATTGTCATGTTTGTTTATTTTTCCCTTTTTTGTCCAGAAAATGAAGTTCCTATAATAAATGGCAGCATCGTACACCCTAGATAATCATTGCATATGCTTTTACACAGACCCGGTATGATACATACCTATTCATTCATCAATAGCAAAGAAATTTACAATTTGTTACATTTAGTACATGAGAGAGAGCCTCGAGAGAAACGTCATAGGATTTTCCTGAAAAATTAATTTATCTTTTTCTTATGTTTTTCTTTTTGTTTTTTCTAATTTTATCAAAACCAACTAAACATCGGTGTGAAATAAATGGATATGTGATTCTTACAATACATTATGTTACAATAAATCAGCAATTTTAATATCACCCCGCACTTGTTACTTTCTTCTTATTCTTCTCCTCCTCCTCCTACTCCTCTTTACACAGTCTGCTTTCCCTCAAGTTCAGCATCTGCTACTGGTGACATATTTTCATGCTCAAACCATGGACCTACTAACTAGTAGGTCCACGCTCAAACGTAACGTTACCACTCTTTATCCCTTCTACCCCTATCTTTTGAGAATGGCCCAAGGACCTAACTTGTACTAATAGGTCACCTTGACGTTCACTCACGATCTTGCCCTCTGGATGTCCTTCTCAATTTAGATTAAATGTAAAGGACAGAATCATGACATTTTCTTTTTTTTCTTCTTTTTATTTCGTCTGCACGGAATCTTCACACTTCTCAATCCTTCCATTTCCATCTACTTCCCCGTCTGTTTTCTTCGCGCTATATTCCTGTCTTCTCTCGAATGTTTTATATTCAATTTACCTAGAGAT